TTTTTTTTTTTTTTTTTTTTTTTAACTGAAGTTAAATGGATATATAACTAATTATGGTGACTTAAGTGGCAAGAATAAATGTAATCTATATTTGAGAACACAAGAGTAAATCCCTTTGTAACAACTGTAAATAATTATAATTTTAATGGTTATGTCAATGTTACTCTTAAATAGGGGTGGGTAAAAACCGATTTTGGTTGAAATTGAAACTGGTTTTAAAATAATTAATTATTTTTTTAAAATTTGAGAAAAAAAATCGAATCAAAGTTTTCACAAACAGATCAGTTTAGTTACTAATAAAATTGGTTTGATTTCAGTTTTTACTAAATAAATATTAATCAATTTTTTTAATAATATATTATATTCTATCTCATATTTTATCATATTTTATTATATGTATTCAAATTTTGATTTTCAAGAAGCTTATTTTTGATTTTCAATTTGTGAAAGATTCAACTAAAATCAAACAAAAATTTAATAAGTTAATACCAAAACCAAAATAATAAAATTTAAAAACTATTAAAATTGAATCAAATTCATTTTTTTGGTTTAATTTATGAGTAACCATTCGGTTACCCACCTGCATGCCCACCCTTACTCTTATAGGTAGAATTTTACTCAATTGATAAGACCGCTTGCAAGTATGCCAGTGATTAATGGAACCAAAAATCAGAGCACCCATGTTATCCAAGATGAAAAGAAAAATGGATATAAAAGCTAATGATGAAGAAGGAAGACACATACGAAGCTTTTTGTATGTTTTTGACATAATGCCCAGCGGAGGAGGACCCTACCACAGTCTTGTTCATGTGACAATTTTCAAGAGGCAATACTTCTACGAATTTCACTGTAGAACCAAAAAAAAAAAGAAAAGAAAAGAAGAAAAGGAAAGCAGAAACACTGATTGAATGAATGTGGTTGAAAGTTGATAATAAATTTATCTTTTTTCCATTTTTTCCCTCCTGAACAAGAAAAGAACCAAAATCCTCCTCTGCTTCCCGCTTGGCTAGCCTAAGCCTCAAAGGGAAACAGACTGAATCAAATCTAGTTTAACTTTGTTCTTTTTTAAATAAATAAATATATATATATAAATATTTTATAATTAGGTTTTCTTCTTGGCCTAATCGATGCCTTGAGATATTCCTAGATGCTGTTTACAGGAAGAACAACAAGGGCCTAATGAACAAAATGATTAATGTCCTTGTGTCACACTGTCATGGATAGGCAGCTTTTCGTTAACCCTTCTTTTTCTGTATTTGTTTCCTTCCATTTGTTAGTGTATATATCTCTTAAACATGTTAATTAAACTTGGTAGGAAATTTCATTCCTTATCATTTTCCGGGCACACGTTTAAGCAGTTCTTAAACATCTAGTGTCGGCTATCAATGGAAGCAGGTGGTCAATTATTAAACTGAAACTTGAACAGCTCAGCTTTATTTATGATATCATTATCCTACCACGCTCTTCTTTCTGTCTGATATTGATAAATCTTTAATATAAACTCCACCGAATCCAAATTCATAATACATTAATCCATAACGGGTCTTAAATGTGAGTCTTACAATGAACTCGAGTCTCAAAGTCCTCCTCTGTTTTCGGTCCTATGTCATTGTTTTCTTGGGGAGGAGACACATAACTGCCTCTTTTTTAATTGCCATATTAAGATTATAATACGTTCGAATTCTGTGTGCTAGCACGTGTTAGTTAGCTAAGGTACACAATATTTTTTAACCTGCTGGATCTCATAGCTGCCCCAAACAGCTATAAATCACCCCTTCTTTTTAGAATCTAAATGCCTTCGAGCAGTAGTAGTAACACAGAAGAATTCGAGACATTTTCCAAAATGGGGAGAGTTTGCTTTGTGAGGTTAATGGTCTTAGCACTTTTGGGATTCTTGGGCTGCACTCATGCTCAGTTACAGATGAATTTTTACGCGAAGAACTGCCCGAAGGCTGAAACAATTGTTCTGGACTATGTTAGGAAGCACATTCCTAATGCTCCTTCTCTAGCAGCTGCCCTCATAAGAATGCACTTTCATGACTGCTTTGTTAGGGTATTTCTCTTTGGATCTCTCTCTGTCTCTCCATTTACAGGCATTTCTTGTTTCTTTTGACAAATTGATGGTTTTTGTGTGTGGGCACGTTTTTTCAGGGCTGTGATGGCTCTGTTTTGTTGAACTCGACCACAGGCACTGCGGAGAAGGATGCTCCACCAAATTTAACACTAAGAGGCTTCGACTTCATTGATAGAATCAAGGCTGTCGTCGAAGCTGACTGTCCCGGAGTCGTGTCTTGTGCTGATATCATAGCTCTTGCTGCAAGGGATTCTATAGTGATCACAGTAAGTAATTATCTCAAACACAAAAGCAATTAACCAAAGAAAACGTCAAATGGTTTATATGAGTTTTGCTTGAACCTTTCAGGGAGGTCCATCTTGGAGAGTTCCCACAGGAAGAAGAGATGGAAGATTCTCAAACCGCACAGAAGCAATTAACAATATTCCTGCCCCAACTTCAAACTTCACCACTCTCCAAGCCCGTTTTGGTAACAAGAGTCTTGATTTAAAAGACTTAGTTCTGCTATCTGGTAAGTTCATATTTTGATATTGTACCTTCTACATTTTTTAAATTGAATGTTTTTTTGGATTGAGATATCAAAAAACTGTTTTGTAGTCTTGAATTAGTTATTCAAAAATTATTTTGTTGTTCAACACAATTTAGATCATAAAACAGAAAATTTTTTAATATTATGACGTTGTTTTTCACTTAAAAGCTTAAACTGTTTAAATGATTTCAGGTGCTCACACCATTGGTGTCTCTCACTGCTCATCTTTCTCGAATCGCCTTTACAACTTCACCGGAGTAGGGGATGAGGACCCGGCACTAGACAGCGAGTATGCGGCAAATCTGAAGGCGAACAAATGCAAGAGCATCAACGACAACACCACGCTAGTAGAGATGGACCCTGGAAGCAGGAAGACCTTTGATCTAGGCTACTACAAGCAGGTGCTCAAGAGGAGAGGTCTCTTTCAATCTGACGCAGCCCTAAGGACAAACCCGACAACACTTTCCTATATCCGACAACTTGTGTCAGGTCCACTCCCCAATTTTCTCTCGGAGTTCGCACTGTCTATGGAAAAGATGGGAAGGGTTGATGTTAAGACTGGGTCAGCTGGTGAGATTAGGAAGCACTGTGCAGTTGTTAATTAACTTTGCTCTTTGAATTTCTTTTATATTTTTAGAGGCTTAAGTATTTTTTCTTTTGTTCAGTATGTGGAGTGGGTGGAAAGGAATAAAAGTTGTTGAAGGATGAGGTATTTTTTTTATGGGTGTACTGTATTGGATTTGCATTGTTATTTGTGGTTCTGGTTGTGAAATCAGAAATGAGTAATTGAGCTCATTGTTTATATGTTGGTTTCTATAATTTGTGCATTAAAGTTAAAAATTCATTTGTTGTATACTTTTTTTTATAAATTTATACTAAAAAATACAGAAATGACTCCCTATATTTTATGTAGATTTTTAATTTAAAAGAGAGTATTGAGATTAAGAAAAATAATAATTTATTTTTAATTTTAGGGATAGATATATTTAAGGTACAAAATTACGCTTTTATAAATAATTTCTTATTCTCTATTTTAGATAATTAATGTTGTTGGATGGTGGTCGTTGTATATTGAAAAGTGGAAGTGACATTTAAATTGAAACAGAAAGAAAAATCTGCTTAATCACATAATAAAATAGGACATGACTGGCATATTGGGTTAAGTAGAATGAGTTTGACTCTTTTTAAATAAGATTTTGAATTTGAGTTAAGTGAATAAAGAAATAAATGTTAGAAGAGCTTTTCCTTTATAGGATCTAATGCAATTTAATTTTAAATTAGTTATAGTTCAATGTAGTTTTTGAATACCGAAAAATTAAAAAAAAAAACAATAATAAAATGAAACAAAGAAAGTAATTTTATTTTAGTATTCATATTATGTGAATAACTTTAATGGAGCTGATGAGAAAATTAAAGCCAATTTTTTATAACAATTAATGAAAAATATAAAAAATATCTTGTTAAA